CGGAAGACAGTCCACAGAGCAGCTGTGAGAGCCTCAAACGTAGGGCCCTTTAGAGAAAGGGTGCTGCCCTCACTTCCTGGACGCTGCTTGTCGTCCCTGTAAGCTGACCTGTGCGAGCCACTGGCCGACCACACTACTAAATTAAACTGAGAAGTCCAGTTCCCAGGTCACACTAGCCATGTTCAGCCTGCATATTACGTTCTGCAGCACGCTCCCCTGGACGGTGCTGACCGAGAAGGCCCCTGGGGCAGGTTCCCCCACTGCTCTTGTTCACTACAGGAAGCTCAGGGTTTTCTTACAGGAATTAGACTTTCAAAAATGTACTGAATGAACCAAAGACTGTTAGCTGCTGAAAGACATGGTCATCTGAGTCTTCCTTTCTAATTGGCTCCCAGGTGATGTCGAAGGGCTGGACTTGCTGCTCCTTCGATGCGCGAGGCCTCAGGGCACATGGGTACTGTCGCATCATTTAACTTGAAAGAGCAGAAGGGTAGCTAGGCTAGTGTGTGCGAGCAAGCAAGCAGAGTGGCAGCTGCTTACGAAAGAGCGAAGGGGAGCCAGCCGGTCAGAGTGGAGGGTTAAAACACAGACAGGAAATCCCAAGCTTAGCCAGCGTGTCTAGTGTCATCACGTTTCTCTTTGAGAGAAATGTATACAGACGCCTATAGTTCAGTCAACACTAAAATGCACCTTACCTTCTGAACTTCAGTAATTTCTTTCCCCAAATTAATAGCGTAACATATCTGCAAGAAACAAGAACAGCATTTGGCACAGGTAGAAGAGGATCAAAAATTTTAGGAACAAATGTGATCTGGGGGTACAGTGAGGTCACTGCCCACGTTTCCCTGGCAAGGCAGGACCTGGCTGCACAGACTCCTCCCGTGCGGGTCAGACCCGTCGGGCCCTGCTGACCCGAACACCTGCTGCCACACTGTATGCAACTCAGAGGACAATCTGGTGTCTACAACTTGTGATGGGGCATTTTTCTCCTAATTGGCTAATTGAATTCAGCCACTCAGTGTTCTTAAAACACAGTGGCAAGCAGTTACTGAAAGGAAGATTAATTTTGAATTCTAACTAGTGTTGTCACATTTTTCATACTAAACACAAAAACAGCTCAGATGGACTTTCCTGATGCCCTGTCCATTGATTTGCTGAGAGTATGCCCATGGTAATACTGTCACTTCATGATACCTGTATACTAAACGATTCTCGTGCCCTTAAAGGTCTGGCTCATTCACTCTGGTTGAAAGGTATTTTCCCACAGGGAGGTTTTTAATCCAATTCCTTCAGTGGGGGCCTGCCTGGGAGGCGCTGAGTCAGCAACTGGATCTTCAGGAGGGAAGTGCAGAAACCGCTTTGGTACAGCGGGGCCATGGGATTGAATATGAAAAAAACAAGACCTTTTCGCCTTCCGAGTTGCTTTCAAAAATGTATGTGCTCAGAGACTCTTCTCCCGTGGACTCAGGGTCGCGGACAGCAAAGCCGACCAGTCTCTTGTTTTCCTGGTGAGCCGCAAACTGCGTGACACTGGTGAGTTCAAACTGGAGGAGGGGAGGGGTAGAAATACACAGAAAAGGGGATTTTCTATGAAAATCCATGGAAAAGAGTGTACTGTTCATGGCAGTCATTAAATGTGCCAGGTACTAAGTGCCAAGCTTGTGTTTACAGCACATGCAAAGGTGACTTAAAGAGTAAACCACTAATGCGGATCCGGGTGAGGTACTTACATTGGCCCTTGACACTTGAGTCTGAGGATCTATCAACCTGAAATTGTGAGAGAGCCATTATTTCATACGTGCTGGATAGACTTACACTCTTAGAAGACTCTGCAGAACTTCAGATGAACCCACACATACCCGCAGGCAGGAGAAAGGAGGCCTGTGTGAGGGGAGGCACGACAGACCCCTGTGACCCTCCCTGAACCTGCACAGTCCCGTTCAGGGTGCGGAGCAGGTGCTGGTGTGCCATGCTGAAGTGCCTGGCTCGTTTAAATAACAAAATAAATTTAAAGAGCTACAGGGAGACAAACACAGAAGAGAGGTCTTCCATCAGCTGGTTCACTCCCTTTTTGGCTGCAATGGCCAGGACTGGGCCAGGCCAAAGCCAGGAGCCAGGAACTTCATCCGGGTCGCCCACGTGGGTGGCAAGAGCCCAAACCCGTGGCTATCTTCCACGGCTCTTCCCAAGCCGTTAGCAGGAAGCTGGATTGGAAAGGAAGCAGCCAGGACAGAACCGGCACCTGTATGGGATGCCAGCATTCCAGGCAGTGGCTTTACTCGATATACCAGAATGCTGGTCCCCTTGACCCCACTCTTCATTTCAGCTTTCTGCTAACGCGGCAGCAGGCGATAGCCCTGCCACGTGTGTGGAAGACCCAGCTGGAGAACCAGGCTCCTGGCTCTGGCCTGGCCTGGCCCTGGCTGTTGCAGGCACTTGGGGAGTGAACCAGTGCATGGGAGCTCTGCCTCTCAAAGAACTGAAGAGCAGGCGTGCTAGCTCGGGGCGTTCATAGGGAAGATGACACAGCAACAGAGGTCCCTTCACAGTGTTCTGGTGCTTATTCAGAAGAGGCATCATCATTTCAGTAGTCTGGCTGTGTAAGTGGATGAGTCGTTACACCACCTCCTTTCTGTAGCACTTATTGAGTACCTTCATTCTCCTGAAGTACTGAATCAGCTTTCTCCAACTTACATCCAAAATTACTCCTGTATCTATATATATGTGTAAGTGCAATGTTTAATTTCAAGAAAGTATTCTAGAATAGATTCTTGAACAATAATATGTTAAACTTCATCTAATAGGCTGATGTATCTTGTAAAATAGGTTATGGCAGAGAATTCATTGCTCTCAAATACATATATATAGATAGATAGATATAGACTTATTTCTACTTGTGTTAGAACTGACGTGGTGCTAACATGTAAATGATCAAGTGCTGCCTTATGTATGGTTGATAAAACACGGTTATAATCCCACTTCATGGAACGGCCAGGCCAGGCATCTGTACTGCTAAGACTGGCGGTTCCTGGTCACCCAGGGCTGGGTGGGTGCAGGGGTCTTCCTGGGGCAGCACAATCTCCTGAACTCAGTTGCACTGGTGGCTGCACGATGTACTGTGGGGAAAAGTGACTCAAACCGTACACGTGAGGTGGGTGAACTGTAGGGCACGGGGACTGCATCCTGGTGGAACTCGGCCCTCCAAGCACGCGGCTGTCCCAGCACAGGGCTCAGGAGCTCCTCACGCGATCCTGCGCTGTGGCGCTGCCCCCCTACACTGCAGACGGGTGGCTGAGACCCTCACTGGGGAGGTCACAGAGGCTGTAAGCTTTATGTTCCTTTTCCTGTGATTGAATAAACAGTTTCCCTAAAGGGGGACTTTTTAATCTCAGAGCACGTGAGTCCACTGACGGCATGTGCCAGTGTGAACTACATCCTGGAGAACTTCCCATCACTGCATTCCTGACTGTAGCCGGAACCTTCCCGTCACCCTGAGAGGACCCTCCCCACTGAGCAGTCGCTCCTCATTCCCGCCTGCTCCTCGTCTCTGGCATCCTCTAGTCCTCCTCAGTCAGCCGATTACCTACCCTGGGCAGGTCACAAGAACACAGCCACACAGGTCGGGGCTTTCCACATCTTGCGTCTTCCCCTTAGCAGGGGCCTGGACACTCCCCCATACCCTAGCGTGCATCAGCACTTTGCTGCTGTTTTTAAGCTGTGTAACACTGTGGTCTGTGTGGATACCACGTTCTGTTTATCCATTCATTTGCTGTTGGACATCTGGATCATTTGTTGAACACCTAGTTTTAAAAATTATTTACTTATTCGAGAGGCAGAGGCAGACAGAGAGGCCTTCCATCTGCTGGTTCACCCCCCAAATGGCTGGAGCTGAGGCAAGCTGAAGCCAGAAGCTTCTTCCAGGTCACCCATGCAGGTGCAAGGCCCCAAGGACCTGGGCCATCTCCTACTGCTTTCCTAGGTCATAGCAGAGAGCTGGATCGGAAGTGGAGCAGCTGGGACTAGAACCAGTGCCCATATGGGATGCTGGCTCTACAGGTGGAGGCTTTACCCCTATGCCACAGTGCCAGCCCTGAACACTGTTTTTAATTACTTTGGGTATCCACTTGGGTAGAGAATTCTATAGTAATTTTACACTTACGGAGTAACTTCCAAACTATTTTCAAAAGCTGCTAAGCCAGTTTACACTCAGTGCCCCCACCCCCCCTTTTGACAGGCAGAGTGGACAGAGAGAGAGAGACAGAAAGGTCTTCTCTGTTCACCCTCCAACGGCCGCTATGGCCAGTGCACCGCGCTGATCTGAAGCCAGGAGCCAGGTACTTTTCCTGGTCTCCCATGGGGTGCAGGGCCCAAGCACTTGGGCCATCCTCCACTGCACTCCCTGGCCACAGCAGAGAGCTGGCCTGGAAGAGGGGCAACCGGGACAGAATCCGGCGCCCCAACCGGGACTAGAACCCGGTGTGCCGGCGCCGCAAGGTGGAGGATTAGCCTATTGAGCCACGGCGCCGGCTAAACACCTAGTTTTAAAAATTATTTACTTATTCGAGAGGCAGAGGCAGACAGAGAGGCCTTCCATCTGCTGGTTCACCCCCCAAATGGCTGGAGCTGAGGCAAGCTGAAGCCAGAAGCTTCTTCCAGGTCACCCATGCAGGTGCAAGGCCCCAAGGACCTGGGCCATCTCCTACTGCTTTCCTAGGTCATAGCAGAGAGCTGGATCGGAAGTGGAGCAGCTGGGACTAGAACCAGTGCCCATATGGGATGCTGGCTCTACAGGTGGAGGCTTTACCCCTATGCCACAGTGCCAGCCCTGAACACTGTTTTTAATTACTTTGGGTATCCACTTGGGTAGAGAATTCTATAGTAATTTTACACTTACGGAGTAACTTCCAAACTATTTTCAAAAGCTGCTAAGCCAGTTTACACTCAGTGCCCCCACCCCCCCTTTTGACAGGCAGAGTGGACAGAGAGAGAGAGACAGAAAGGTCTTCTCTGTTCACCCTCCAACGGCCGCTATGGCCAGTGCACCGCGCTGATCCGAAGCCAGGAGCCAGGTACTTTTCCTGGTCTCCCATGGGGTGCAGGGCCCAAGCACTTGGGCCATCCTCCACTGCACTCCCTGGCCACAGCAGAGAGCTGGCCTGGAAGAGGGGCAACCGGGACAGAATCCGGCGCCCCGACCGGGACTAGAACCCGGTGTGCCGGCGCCGCAAGGCAGAGGATTAGCCTAGTGAGCCGCGGCGCCGGCCCCCAATTTCTTCACACATTGCTAAACTTGCCTTTTTCTGTTTAAACTATAACCAGTGAGTGTCATGAGTATCTCACTGTGGTCCTGGGTTTGCATTTTCCCCGTGACACTCAGCATCTCCTCACGTGCTTCCTGGCCACTTGGATGTCTTTGGAGAAATGTCTCTTCAGCTCCTTTGCCCGTCTTCCAACCAGGCTGCCCTTCGCTGAGTTTTAAAGCTCTTTACATATATACTCTGAGTATCACCAGATCCTCCTCAGACCGTTCTGTGGGTGGTTTTCCCAGGTTTTTGGATAGTATGCGCTGTGGTTGTTCAGTCCTCTTACAGATTTGAAGACTCTCAAAATAAAAAAAGGAAAATACGTATTGCTTCCAGGGCTGGATTGCAGTGCAGCGGGTCACGCAGCATCCTGTACTGAAGCGCGGGTTTGAGTTCTGGCTGCTCTGCTTTGGATCCAACTCAGAGCAGCAGAAGATGGCCCAAGCACTGGTCCTCTGTCTCACATGGGGGGCCATTTGGGGAGTGAACCACTGAATGGACGATCTCTCTGCCTTTCTAAGTACACAGATCTTAGGAACAACTATACATGGATTCCAAGGTGTTTTTTACACATCTTGGGGTTGGTGCTGTGGCACAGGAGGCTGAGCCTCTGTCGGTAGCTCCAGTTCCAGTCCCAGCTGCCCCCTTCTGATCCACGTACGCCCAGGGAGGCATGAGGGTGAACGTACCTCAGGGCCTGGCTCGTGACCACCAGGTGCGACTCCGTCGTGCGGAAGATGTTGTGAATGGCGCGGGCGGCCAGGACTTGTCTCATGGCCTCGTAAATCACTGCGGTCGTGCTGTCTGTCTTAACTGCCATTGAGCCCAAGAACCGAACTACGAACATCTGCTGCAGCAGGGAATCTGCAAGAGAAGAGGTTCAGCTCAGGGTCACGTCCGCTTCCAGCCCGCGGCGGCGGCCAAGAGCCAGGGGCGCGGGGCCCGGCTGGCTCCCCGCGGAGGCCTTCCTACCCAGGGTCTCAGCGCTCCGACCCGGGAGCCCGACGCTGCCACTTCTCCAAATGTTCCGCCTGCATCCTGTCGCTGTGGTGGAAACCGCCTCATAGAAGCCGAGTTACTGGTACCACCCAGTGTCCTCTTGGCACTGCACGTGGTGACCGTGGACACGCTCACCTTTCCTTTGAAAGTGCGCGTGACCCAGCAGGTAGCAGGGAATAAACCGCGTCGGCCCACGGGTGCTGTCCTCTTATGGAAGATCACTGACTTGCAGGAAACAAAGGCGCGGTGTTTTCACTCAATTCCAGTGCCATGGTCACGACTGAAGGCAGCTGGCATCAACTGGTGGAGAGCCCGAGAGCGCAAGCCACAGCCGTTTGCTTGTGGCGTGCACTGAGCTGTCGCGGCGAGCGCCACTGGGAGGTCGGGAAGACGTGGACAAGGCCGCAGCTGCTGCTGTGACATCAGTCATTCCCCAACACTGCCAACCGAGAAGCCTCCCTTTTTCTACTCTTACCCCGAAACACCTCCAAGCTTAAACACAGTGCAGGAAACTGAGCGGTACACACTCTAAATGGACACTCATGCACGTCTCTGTACGGACGGTTTACGGTACAAACTGAAAAGTAGGCTAGATCCAAGGGGAGAGCGCCAGACGCGAGGCCCAGCCTGTAATATCGCACACACAGTCTCCCCAACAGAACGGCAACTCTCAAGTCCTGCTTCCGGTGCAGCCTCGTTCCCAGGCACCCTCAGCTCCCAGCGTGAGGCCACGTTACCGTGAGGTCTCCCTAGCACTCGCAGTGACTAAAATCCCCGCCTTGGCTCAGCATCTGCTCAGCTGAGTGGAAGGTTAGGGTCAGCCCCACCGGGTGTGTTCTCAAGTACACTCTAAGAGTGGAAACCCACAAGATAAAAACAGGACTCTAAAGAGACTAATTTATCTGGCAGGTGCTATGGCACAGACCAAGTTGCCACCTGTGACAAACCACACCCCACAGTGGAACACCAATTGAGTCCTCGCTACTCTGCTGTCAACCAACTTCCTGCTAATGCACCTGGTGGCAGGGGCAGCAGATGGTGGCCCAAGTACTTAGGTCCCTGCCACCCACATGGGAGACCCAGATGGAGCTCCAGGGTCCTGGCTGTGGCCTGGCCCAGCCCCAGCTGCTGCAGGTTACTTGGGGAGTGAATCAGCGATGAACGACAGAGGCTCCTCTCTCCCTCTGTCACTCTGCCTTTCAGGTAAATAAACTTCAGTCTTTTAAAAATGTATCATTTATTCAGGTCACCTTACAATTCAAGAATGAATTATTTATCCTTATGGTTTCTGAAATAAAATAACCAAGGTTAGACTTCGAGGTGACCTTTTTTAACAAGAATGTGCTATTTTGCAGCATTTCTGTGCAGGAGCTACAGATGGGTGCTGCAACAGCTGAGCATTGTGACACAGGTTAAGCTGCCACCTGCGACACCGGCATCCCATATGGGCACCAGTTCATGTCCCAGCTGCTCCACTTCTGATCTAACTCCCTTGTAGCCTGGGAAAGCAGCAGAAGGTACTGCCACCCATGTGGGAGACCCGGATGAAGCTTGTGGCTCCTGGCGTTGGCCTGGCTCAGCCCTGGCCATTGTGGCCATCTGGGGAGTGAACCAGTGGATGGAAAATATCCCCCACCCCAGTAATATGGACTTTCAAAAAAAAAAAATCTTAAAAAAAAAAAAAAGGCTGAAATCTTCATACTGCCCCTCAGTTTTTAAGCAAGACTGGCCCTTACCACCCATGTCCTGCTAGACTTACAATTTTGATTCATACTCTACATCAGAGCTCACTCAAACATGACTTCCCAGCTCACGTCAGAGGCCTTGTCAGGTCAGGCAGTGTGGCACAGTGGGTAACGCCGCCGCTTAGGACAGTCCACATCCCACACTGGAGCGCCAGTCTGAGTCCCAACCCCTTTCCTTCCAATCTAGCTCCCCGTCAATACAAACCCTGAGCAGCTGATGGCTCAAGTACTGAGTTCTTTTTTTTATTTTTTTTATTTTTTTTATTTTTGACAGGCAGAGTGGACAGTGAGAGAGAGAGACAGAGAGAGAAAGGTCTTCCTTTGCCATTGGTTCACCCTCCAATGGCCGCCGCTGCAGCCGGCGCACCGCGCTGATCCGATGGCAGGAGCCAGGATCCAGGTGCTTCTCCTGGTCTCCCATGGGGTACAGGGCCCAAGCACTTGGGCCATCCTCCACTGCACTCCCGGGCCATAGCAGAGAGCTGGACTGGAAGAGGGGCAACCGGGACAGAATCCGGCGCCCCGACCGGGACTAGAACCCGGTGTGCCGGCGCCGGCCTCAAGTACTGAGTTCTGACCACCTGTGCGGGAGGCCGGGCCAGAGTTCCAGGCTGCTAGCTTCAACCAGTGGATAGAAGGTTTCTCTGCCTCCCGCCACCCTCCCTCTACCCAGAAGCCCTCTGCCTTTCAAAGGAATAAATACTCTGGAGCAACTACTGAAAATAAAAATGGACCTTGTCATTGTGTACAGAGGAGAGTAAGCACATCCAACCAGCCACGCACCTTCCGCTTCTGGAAATGATCCGTCCTCAGTTTCCCCGAAAGGATTGACCCGCCTAGGGGAGGAGCCAGAGTTAGAGAATCCTGACAGCGCCCGCAGTGTGGGTGGGCCACAGCCACATCAAGTTCACTTTCTTTCCTCCCAGAGAACCTCCCTTCGCCCATACCTGCTCCCTCTGTTCTGATCAAGGAATTCCGTAGCGGGGAGGACAATGTCAAACTGGATGGGTGTCCCGGGGGCTATCAGCTCCTCCGTGTCAGTTACACCGACTGTTGCGTTGGGAATGAGCCTGGCACTTTCCATCTCTGAATTGGTCAGGTTCTGGCTGGCGTACAAGACAGGAAAAACGAATACATTTACTCGCAATCCAGTGACCACTTGCTTAATGCTGACGTCACCTTTAAGAACGACTTATGTTCATCTACTTGAAAGGCAGAGCGACAGAGAGGAACGCTCCACCGCTGCTTCACTCTCCACATGCCCGCAACAGCCAGAGCTGGGCCAGGTGAAGCCAGAGCCCTGGAACTCCACGGGCTTCCCTTGGAGGTGGCAGAGGCTCAAACACTGGAGCCCTGCCCGCTGTCTCCCAGCATGCATCAGCAGGGAGCTGGATCAGACACTGGGCAGCCAGGACTCGACCTGGCACCCTGACTGGGATGCAGGCGTCCTAAGCCGTGTCTCAACCTACCGCCCCACACCACCTGCCCAGGTGTGGCTTACGTACAGAACCATGATGAAGATTTCACTCTCTCAGGCTGTTATCCAAAGAAAACTGCCCAACCCGCATATCCTTTGTAACCCTTCAGCTCTGCCCATTGCCTCCGTGCTTGGCTCCCAGCGCTGTGCCGGGAGTTACACCCCACTGGTCTTCCGCTGGGACGCTCCCCGGGGCAGGTGTTAGGAGGCAGGGCTTCAAGTGGCATTTATTACTTGGCACATTAGCAGGCACTCAGGAACGCTCACTGAGCAAAGAAAACATCTGGGCTTGACATGTAACCACAACCCAGCTCGGGTTTCTGGAAAGCCGCCCTTGCCAGGCCCGGAACGCCCCCTGCACTGAGCTGCTGCCTCAGCTCCCCGGGACGTCAACCCCCAGCTCAGATCCGGCTCACCTGCCGCCCTGGACCTCGCCCCTCCTCGGAACGCCTGACACGCCTGGCTACCGAGACCATTTGGGGAGTGAACCAAAGATGGAAGACTTTCTCTCTCTCTCTCTCAGCCTCTGCCTCTCTGTAACTCCGCCTTTCTAATAAATAAATCTTTTATTTTTTATTTTTTTATTTTATTGACAGGCAGAGTGGACAGTGAGAGAGAGAGACAGAGAGAAAGGTCTTCGTTTTGCCGTTGGTTCACCCTCCAATGGCCGCCGCGCACCGCGCTGATCCGATGGCAGGAGCCAGGTGCTTCTCCTGGTCTCCCATGGGGTGCAGGGCCCAAGCACTTGGGCCATCCTCCACTGCACTCCCGGGCCACAGCAGAGAGCTGGCCTGGAAGAGGGGCAACCGGGACAGAATCCGGCGCCCCGACCGGGACTAGAACCCGGTGTGCTGGTGCCGCAAGGCGGAGGATTAGCCTAGTGAGCCGTGGCACCGGCCTAATAAATAAATCTTTAAAAAGAAAAATGGTTCATGGAGAAGAATCTACACATGGGTTTCAAAGTTAAACAGCAAATTTCCCTTTGAATTCCATTTTTATAAACATTTGGAAGCAGGCGCGCGGTGCCTTCCTTAGGGTCCCCTGGTCAGCCTGCCATGCGTGTCAGCTGCGTGCCCCGAGCAGCGCAAGGAGCCGTCTCCCCTCACCTGCCGCCTCTCGGCCACTCTGACGGCCTTCGGGGTCTCAGGTTCTATTTCACAGCTACGACGATGGCGACGCCCCTCCCCAGTTCATCCACGTGGTGCCACACAACGCTCTTTCTAAACTTGGACCTGAGCGCCACTCCTCTCAAAGCACTCAGTTCTGCTCGCTGCCTCACAGGCCAGCAGGAAGCCCCGGTCTTCCACATCACTCACCCCTGTTTCCTGCCCAGTGCCGGGGCAGGATCATGGGTGGCAGGCCATGGGAGCACCCCAGGCTTCCCCGTGCCTTTCTCTAGAGCCGTGTGTGAGAACGCTGCACGGGGTTCCTCCCACCAGGCCATGGAAGGATGGGCTCCAGGCGGTCACAACTTAATCTACCTTTGACGCCACACTGCCTTGGTGTCCCAAGGACAGCCCTCTCCTGTCTACCAGAGTTCTGAGAAGGCGTCCTCAGGCAGCATGGATGCAAATGCAAGGCTGCACGCAGGAAAATGTTCACCACAATCGGGACCAAATGAAGGAGGGGAGACAGCCTCAAAGTGGACGCCAGCAGTAAGATGTGGAATAGCATGTAGGCACTTAAAGGAACGATTACGAAAAACAAAGGGGCCGGCGCTGTGGCATAGCGGGTAAAGCTGCAGCCTGCAGGTCTGGCATCCCATATGGGCGCCACTTCGAGTCCCGGCTGCTCCACTTCCAATCCAGCTCCCTGCTATGGCCTTGAAAAGCAGCAGCAGATGGCCCCTGCACCTGCATGGGAGACCTGGAAGACGCTTCTGGCTTCAGATTGGTGCAGCTCCAACTGTTGCGGCCAACTGGGGAGTGAACCAGCGGATGGAAGACCTCTCTCTACCTCTCCTTCTCTGTGTAATTCTGACTTTCAAAAATAAAATAAATCTTCAAAAAGAAGAAAAACCTAAAAATATTTTAAATATGTGGACATGCAAAACAAACACACACACACACACACGCACGCACACACGGCAGTGCCAGCGTGCGGGTGAGGCCTGCACAGCGACATGGGCATGCGAGGCCACTTGTTTCTTGTTCTGAAAACAGTCTGGGCTTGGCCGTGGCTGGGACACCCTGAGTGGTGCGGGCGGGTGGGCGGCCAGGAGGCCGACGCTGGGCACGTGTGAATCCCAGCTCCCCCCAGCTCATCTGCAGTGTGAATATGGGCGCGACCCCGAGTCTTTCCCAGCCGCGGTTCCCCTGCTGTAACATGGCGCTGAATGGCACGCTGCGGGGCTGTGAGGAACACACAGCCAGGCACGTCCGACCCCTAACCCCCGGCCTTCGCTGGCCCCACCACAGCCGGCGTCCCTGTCCTCCAGTTACCTGGTGCACGGGCTCTCTTGCTTTCTCCCCAGACTTGTAATGGGAGTCACCGCTTGGAGGGCCGTCTGGTTGAGCTTGATGGCGACTGCCTGAAACACACAGGGGATGGCTCAGTCCAGGAGCGGCCGAGACCGGCCCTGGCGACCGAGCCCTGGGCACAGGTGCACGGGGTTACCTCCGGGTTGTCCGTCAGGTAGATCTGCCTGGAGATGTTGTTTATTGCACAGATCCACTGGAGAGGGCGGGGCAAAAACAACGACACAGTTAGTCTCCAAGTCGCCCGCCGCGGCGGCCAAGAGAGAGGAGCGGAGCCTCACCTCGTCGTTCTCCTTCCTGCTCTCGGCCTGCAGGATAATCGCCCTGGAAGGAAACACACCCATGTCAGGGCCTCCTGGGCCATGCGCACGCTCCAGGACTATGCTAGAAAAACAGAGCCCAGCAGGGCGCGGGGGGGAAGGGCCGGGAGGGCGGTCTGTCCTCAGATCCCAGCTTCCTCTACGGAGCATGGGGCAGGCTCATGGTGTGGCTCGAGGCTGCCAGTTCTCAGAGCCCTGCCTCTGCGGGGAGCTGCGATCCTGCTGTGGGGGCGCACTGCTCCCGCCGCCTCACCCCGCCCACCGGAAACCAACAGCAGGGCTCGCTCAGACACAGCCGGAAGCCAGAGCTTCGCTTTCTAACCCTCGTAGGTCTCCTCCCGAGACCCAGGCAGATCCCCAGCAGGGCTCCCGGGATAAGGCAGCTGCTCCCCACGTGGCCACGATGCTCATCCACAGAGAACGCAAACCTCGTCCCCAACAGGCCAATAAAACCCCGGACGGCGGGGACACAGGGAGGCGCGAGGCAGCACATGGCAGGGGCGGAGCCAACCCCCGTGTTCTCCCAAATGAAACCTGCGAGGCGTACGATTTCCCGTTGGGCGTGGTGATCTGGAAGCAGTAGCGGCGGTCTTCGCAGTCCACGGCCATCACGGAGCAGTTGTCCAGGTCCTGGATCAGGCCCCCGGCCACGGCTCCGCGCGGCTGACACATGAGGTTCCCGCCTTGCGTGAAGAAGTACAGCCTCTCCCAGGTGGTGGTGACCAGCCCCGTCTTGCTATACGGATTGTGTGCGAGAGCCCGTCAGGGCTGGGGAACCTCCGAGCCCTCTGCCCCCGAGGGGCCTGGGGCGGTTTAGAAACCACCTTTCCTTCTGTTAGGGCAAAACTGCTCAGCAAGTCACTCGGTGAAAGGAGAGCAGCAGAGTCTGACCCAGCTGGGGTCACCTGGGAGGCCGTGGGCTCTGCTCACGAGGGACACGCCAGGCCCAACCCCCGCCACCTGGGCGTCCACCAGCACGGCGCGGGTGGCTCCTCCAGGACCTCACGAAGCGACACTGCTCTAAACCCAGGGCACCAGGCCCGCTCGCCCCACACCCCCGCTCCTGGGGCTCCCGTCACACCAGGGTCTGCTCCCCCTGGACGCTGGTCTGGTTTGCGGGCTGCGCACGAGGAAAAGCCGCTCCTGGGGAGCACGGCCAGGCCCCGCGGGGCTCCGCCTCCCCACAGCCCTCTCGGGGATGTCAGCTGTGGTCTGCACGCGTTACAGACCCTCAGGGACGCCACCCACCACGAAACCAGCTGCAGCTCCTCTTCATACACCCTCTCCTTTGGGGATGGCAAACACGGACACAGGCCGAGTCTCCCTTACCCGAAACGCTCGGAACCGTAAGTGCTCAGGACCCGGGGTTTCTCGGATTCTGGAACACCTGCACAGACCTGACCTGGGGAGGATCCCTAATCCACGTCTGCGTTGACAGCGTTCTCTCATTGCCCTTAGCAGCAAAAACGCACACTGGAAACCCCAGGTGTCCAATGTGGGACTCAATCTGTATAGGCCTGGCTCTAAAAGCCCCTCCCCCAGTGCCTGCCTCCGGGGCGGGTCCCTGGCACGTGCCCACCCTGCTGGCGGTGGGGGGCAGCACAGAGGCAGGGCAGTAGCCGCCAAGGGTCTCCGAGGATGACAGTCAACGAGGCCGCGGTGAGCGGAGTCCGCCACCCCGGGCAGCGGGGGCCGGGCCGCAGGTGGAAGGGGTGCTGTGCGGTCCCAGCCCGCCCGCCGTCAGCCTGCTGGCCTGCTTTGCAGCTGTGCCCCGGGAAACAGCTCTGGGGGAAGCGGGCCCCGCGTCCTCACTTTCTCAGGTTGAGGTAGCCGGCCTTCTGGATGAG